GGATTGTTATGATGATGTTCCAGAAGATGATGATATGATTGTCATTGAATAAATAAGTAAATTCTTGATACTGTAGGATTCACAGTTTGTCTGGTTTGTGTTGACAACTACCGTACTACTGTACCGTATACAGGTAATAAATTTCCTTTATTTTCATTTAACAATAAATGTGTACAGTATTCTTCTTCATGGAAAAATAAGACACCCCCTGAAAATAAGACCTAGCGCATCTTTGGGAGCAAAAATTAATATAAGACACTGTCTTGTTTTCGGGGAAACAGGGTAGCAGGTGAGGGTAGATCTTGTGGTCACCAAAAAACTTCTGCCTCCTAGTTCCCTGGGCTCTAAATGCCCTCACCAAAACAAAACGAAACAAAAACAAAACAAAAAAAGAAACTATTCTTGTGCTCAAGTAACACAATGGGAGAACTATAAACAGATCATAATAAAATAATAATGTACTAAATAGGAGAGACACACAGGGAGTTCCCCAGGGGAGCTAACAGGAGGCTTTCAGGTGGTTTCTCTGCGACTCCTGGGGCGAGGGAGGCCTGGGCAGTGGGAAGAGGGGGGACTGGGCATTTATGTGTGGGGAAGCATGCATGTATGTGTGGTATACATGGCATGAGATATGTGATGTATGTGTACATGTTTGTACACTTTTGGGTAGGAGGTTCAGTGGGGCTGTTGTGACCAGGGTATGGGGTGCCTTATGATTCTTGGGCGTCACTCCTTCCCCACTAGAAGTCACAGCCTGGCTCCACCATCTGTGCTTCCAAGGAGGGGATTATCACTGTCAGCAGGGACCCTCTTTTCCTCTTCAACAAGCTCAGGGCTCCCCAACCAACTGCAGAACAGCCTCAGGCTGTGACTGTTCTGCTTGCTTGACAAAACTGCTATGCCACCCCCATCCTCCTCTGGAAACAAAGTGAGGGAAATGATGCACCTTCTCAGGGACATGACCTGCACATACTCCAGTAGAATTGGTCCCAGTGGCCTGAAAGACCCTGCTCAAAGGCCTGCTCCCACTGGCCAGTGAAGGCCCTCAACCCTGTGTCCACCCTCAGCCACCATGAAGCAAACCAAAACTGGGATTGGCCACCTGTGGACTTCTATCTCCAATTCTGCTCTTCTAAAGTGGTCTTTGTGTCATAGAACTTTAGTTTCTGTGAGGAATAATGGTGTTTGAAATTCACTATAGGTACAAAACTCCAGATGACATGTAGTCATTCTTTGCAGCAGCTGAGGTCTTTTGGAGGTCCCAAGAGGGAAATAGCAGGGTCAATGAGGAAAGAACTAGGTAGTACCAGATAGACAGAAGGAAGGGCTGTGCTAGGCTCTTGAGCTATAAACAAATAATACAACTGGGCCTCTCTACCCCCATGTGAACAGGTGATGCACAACTTTGAGAAGAGGTTGCATGTAATTCAGGGTGCCTTGGGGGCGGGGTAGGGCAAACTGTTCACCAGGCTCTGTGCATGACTTGTTTGTCCACACTTGCCACCCCCAGGTTGTATTTTTAGCAATTTCAGATTTTGAGTATTCCCAGTTTTCACATTTTTTTTTTTTTACACCTGTGTCAGTGCATGCTAATATTTACCATTCTGTTACCCGAGAGGAGAGGCTTTGGTCTGTCAGACCAATGTTCTGATAGACCTTTGAACTTGGTCACTTTCACCTCAGTTTTCCACTTGTAAAACAGGAAATAGCCTAAGGATTGAGAAAACCTGGCACAGTGCAGGGTCACTGGAAGGCATTAAGGCATTTCTCTTTATATAGACACAGGGCAGTCCCTACACCCCCAACCCAAATGTCCACAGTGCTGAAGTAGAGACCTTGCCATAAAGAAACCCATGGCAGTCTGCCCAGGCCACATTATCTAGGCTAGGACTGGATGGAGGTTCAGACAAGCAGAATGACCTGCCTAAAAACCACAGTGCCTGGGATGAGGCATGGGGTCAGGACAATCTGGATTGCACTTGAAACAAAGTATTTTCCTCCCCAAAAGCTGCTTTTCCCACCATACCATACAACCATCTGTCATGAGGTAGAGTAAGAATTAAGGGGCCCACACTTCACTGTAGCTCAAAGTAATGTCATAAAGTGACAATTTACATGAAAATTAAACATAATATTCTATCTTTGTTAGAGCATTTATCCAAATTGGTCTAAACAATTGTGCAGGCTAATATTAATAGAGTCGGCAACTGAGTAATTGCGGGTTTCACACATATATGGCTTCAGTTGAATTTTTAGGTTTGCAGACGTAGTACAAATGTAAAACACATTTTGTTATTTGATAGTTGGCTATTCAGCTGTTAATCAGTAAAAAAAAAGTTTTTTGATCTGTTTTGTAGTTTTCGTTTGGCGTTCGTTGAAAAATGGAAAATCAAAAGGAACATTTTCGTCATATTTTGCTTTTTTATTTCCGCAAAGGGAAAAACGCATTGCAAGCTCATAAAAAGTTATGTGCTGTTTATGGTGACGAAGCCTTAAAAGAACGGCAGTGTCAAAATTGGTTTGCCAAATTTCGTTCTGGTGATTTTTCACTCAAAGATGAAAAACGCTCTGGTCGTCCAGTTGAAGTTGATGACGCCCTAATCAAAGCAATAATCAATTCGGACTGTCACAGTACAACACGTGAGATTGCAGAGAAGCTTCATGTATCACATACATGCAATGAAAATCACTTAAAACAACTTGGCTATGTTCGAAAACTCGATACATGGGTTCCTCACGAACTGAAAGAATCACAGTTAACGCAACGCATTAGCAGCTGCGATTTGCTAAAGAAACGTAATGAAAATGATCCATTTTTAAAACGACTGATAACTGGCGATGAAAAATGGGTTGTTTACAACAATATCAAGCGGAAAAGATCGTGGAGCAGGCCAGGTGAACCAACTCAAACAACATCAAAAGCTGATATTCATCAAAAGAAGGTTTTGTTATCAGTTTGGTGGGATTACAAAGGAATTGTCTACTTTGAACTCTTACCACCCAACCGAACGATCAATTCTGATGTCTACATTGAACAACTAACGAAATTAAACAATGCAGTTGAAGAAAAGCGGCCCCAATTGACAAATCGAAAAGGTGTTGTATTCCATCATGACAATGCAAGACCACACACATCTTTGGTCACTCGGCAAAAATTAATGGAGCTTGGTTGGGATGTTTTGCCACATCCACCATATAGTCCTGACCTTGCACCATCTGATTACTTTTTGTTTCAATCTTTACAAAACTCCTTGAATGGTAAAAATTTCAATGATGATGATGTCAAATCGTACCTGATTCAGTTTTTTGTTAATAAAAACCAGAAGTTTTTTGAACGTGGGATTATGATGCTGCCTGAAAGATGGCAAAAGGTCATTGATCAAAATGGGCAATACATTACAGAATAAAGTTATTTATTGATAGTTCCATGAAAAAAGTTTTAAAAATCCGCAATTACTTAGTTGCCGACCCTAAAATAATCAATGTTTTTATCCTACATCCAAAAATGCAATTCTGAGGTCTGCAAACTAGTCAGTTGAGCCAATTTTTTAAAATACTGCTCATTTTTACAGAAAAGTAAAGCTGTAAAGATTTCTAACCTTTAATGAAAACAAACTGGTTTAGGTCAGACTGATATTACCCCCATTATCATCAGGTACTATGTTGAGAGAGAAAAAAACTACTTTCTTATTCATATTCTTTAAAAACCTTTCTTTATAAGCTTCCCAACTGTATACAGAAACCTATCTTCACCTCTCAACAGTATACAATGTACACCTATTGAGTACATATTAGTGTACATTAGAAAAACTTAAGAGATTACAAAATTCAAGGCTTCTAAGTGATAAAACAAAAGAAATTACAAAGTGGGAGAATGTTTGAATATTGACAAGTGGTTAAGATTCTTAATATGTTATTATAAAAATCAACATTCAACATTTACAAATGAGAATGCATAGAATATTCAGTTCTTGAAATACAGAGGCAAACAAATTTAAAATGAAGTCTACATCAGACACACAAATGACAAGTGTGCTTAGCTAACATTTAAATGTTTCAAGTTTGTTCCCAATTCTGATACTTCCCCTGTGATCATGGGTTGTTTTAAGTATTAAACTTCAGTTACTTGTTATCACCCCTACTCCTCATCTCAGTCCCAAGACTACTACAATTTCCTCCTTACACAATAAAAACCAGATAAGGTTTATTGCAGCATTATTAATAGCAAAAACTTGGGAAACACCTAAATCTACCAATACTGGGATTGGTAAAAATACTTTTAAAAAAATATATTTTATTGATTTTTTACAGAGAGGAAGGGAGAGGAAGAGAAAAGTTAGAAACATCGATGAGAGAGAAACATCAATCAACTGCCTCCTGCATACCCCCTACTGGGGATGTGCCTGCAACCAAGGTATATGCCCTTGACCACAATTAAACCTGGGACCCTTGAGTCCACAGGCTGACACTCTATCCACTGAGCAAAACTGGTCAGGGCTGGTAAAAATACTTTATGTAAGTTTTTAAATTAATGGAATTCAGCACATCAGTAAAGTTTTAAGACATTATATGGGCAAAAGTAGGTACACGGTGTCAATAAAGCTATTGTAATACTCATAATCTCCACGTTTTTTTCCTTAGGCAGAACTTAAAACCTACTTTGCCCACCCCTGTATTCACTATTTGTCTGGGATAGTTTTAGACAGCAGATTATACAACACTATAACATAATACCCCAATCATTAGAAGGCTTCAAAGATAGGCAACAAAAATCAATGCTTTTTTGAGTGGTGGATTATAAATTATGTTCAACTTTATAGTTTTAAATGTGATAAACATATGCTTAGTTTTCTATCAGTAGAAAGTCATTTTTGCTTAGCAAAGAGGTAGCATATATAAGCAGCAGCAAAAAAGAAAGTGATTTCCACAGTGACTTCATTTCTGCTATAATTGTTTATACCACGCTCCCCAACCCCATTTTTAAGTCAGTGACAAAACCATTTAGAAATGATACCATAGATGAACTTTATTTTAAAGCTCATAAAAGGTTTCACAATACCGGCAACACACAACCTACATTTCTTCCATTTGACACCTCCACTTGACAGTGCACTGTGTAACAAGTGATACATTTGAAAGATTTGTTCTGCATGCTGCTAACACATTTCACTAGCGCTTGCATTACTCAATGCATTTTAATAATATCAAAGCAAAAAGTCATCTTCTATTGGACAGAATTTTAGAAAGCCCTTGTAAAATCAGATTGTATTGTTTATAAACATCCACACACATGCTGAAATGGAGAGCAAGATGCAAGAAAACTACCTTGGCAGGAACAAATGCTTAATGTTTTTACCCACAGCCCTCTTGAACAAGCAGTATAGTTTGTTTTAGCTTTTCCAAAAGACAAGTCAATTTCCTTCTCAGTGATGCAAATGGTAATACTGCACAGAAGCTTAGTATGAATTCACAATTCCACAGGAATCTGAAAGTTACCAAGGCAATTTTCCCTTTTAGGATCGTAAAGATTACAGACTTAAGCTTTTCCTTTTTCCATATAGTACACAAAAGTTCTAAACATTCTTAAAAAAGAAAATATAAATAGTCTCAGTATGTTACATAGAGTCACATACTACGGCAAAAATATTTTATTAAAGGATAAAGCCAATTTAATGTTATCTAGTCCAAGTCCATATTAATCGAACTCTTCTCGTTAGGGTAACATTCACCATTCTGATGTGGAGGTTCAGCACCAAAATTATTTTTGCCTTGATCTAAAACGTCTTCCTTTTTATCAGTATTTGGGCCATTTGGAGTTCTTTCCAGTTTGGGTGATTCAATTTTTGGTTTGGGTTGTGTTACAACAGGTTCACAGATATTACTCAACTCCTAAAAAAGGAAAACAAAGCTAGTAATCAGACTAACTCTTAGATCCATCTAGTTCATTTTCAATTACTTTCCTACATACTTAAACCAATACTTTTCTATCAACTTCAATTATACTTACCTCAAAGAATCCCATTTATTCATTACACTTGCTCAAAACTATAGCTTGAAGAGAGAAGTGAATATTATCCTATGATGTCTCATGGACTTGCTAAGTATTCATACATTATAATCCTTGCAATAGTATGAAAAGGTAGGAATTATGATACCCACTGATGGAAAGGGGAAATGGTTTACTGAGGTAAAGTAACTTTGCCTCAAGATAAAAAACACAACAAAACCAAAGCTGAAATTCATTGTAGCCCACTGACTTCAAAGGCTCACGCTTCCGTAACTGCTTCTGTAATCTTTACCGTGTCTGAAAATTCTTCCAGACAGAAGGCAGTTACCTGTTTTATTTCCCTCTCAACTTCCTTCAAGCCTCAGGCACTTGGCAAGGCCTTCCCTGTTAAAACCTTTACTTGGGTCCCCTCCACTGTCCAGAATTTCCTAACCCTTCTAACTATTTGTACCATTGGCACTTTATAAACCATCTCATATACTGCCATACATGTTTACTGTCAAGTCGTCTTCACACTAGCAGGGCAGGGATTTCCTTTGTACACTGGAAGTTTAGCACCTGGTACAATGACTGACACATGGCTGAACAAATACATTTGTTGAGCTAAACTAATAAAATGAAAACTTAACACTTATAAAGTCTTCTAAATTTTGTGATTAAACCAAGAAATCTGGTTTTAATCAGGAGGAGGTGAAACTTATTGGAAAAAATGGCCATGTTCAGGGTTCAAGTGATTATAACTTGAGCCCTTAAGAAAACACAGCAATGAATATACAATATCACTCACCTTTATTTTTTCCTTAATTTCTTGAGCACGTATAACAGGATCCTGATCGAGACTCTTTTTAGCCTGGGCATTCATGACGTTATTCATCCACTCCATCACTTCATTCACAGACTTCTCAACCTTCTTCATTTCTGACTCATCAATATGGTTATATTTTTCATCCTGAATGGAAAAAGCATGATCATACAGCAGAATTAAATATTTAACATTGATAAACTTGACAAAATTTTCTATGAAGTTCAAATGCCAAAACAAATTTCTCATTTAAAAACATCTGTTCAGCCGGCACCGGTTTGGCTCAGTGGATAGAGCGTCGGCCTGCGGACTGAAAGGTCCCAGGTTTGATTCCGGTCAAGGGCATGTACCTTGGTTGCGGGCACATCCCCCATGGGGGTGTGCAAGAGGCAGCTGGTCGATGATTCTCTCTCATCAACGTTTCTAACTCTCTATCCCTCTCTCTTCCTCTCTGAAAAATCAATAAAATATATTTAAAAAAAAAAAAAAAAAAACATCTGTTCAGCCGAGACCGGTTTGGCTCAATGGATAGAGCGTGGGCTTGGGGATTGAAAGGTCCCAGGTTCGATTCCGGTCAAGGGCATGTACCTTGGTTGTGGGCATATCCCCAATAGGGGGTGTGCAAGAGGCGGCTGATCAATGACTCTCTCTCATCGATGTTTCTAACTCTCTCTCTCTCTCCCTTCCTCTCTGTACAAAACCAATAAAATATATTTGAAAAATAAATTAATAAAAACATCTGTTCATCCTAAAGTTTCCTCAACTTCACTATTAGCTGATTAAAACCTGCAGTCCCCTCTTCCTGGTACATACAGACTTACATTCTTTCTGAAGTCGGCTGCTATCTTGGCATAGTGCTGCAGCCTCTGACCTAGTTCTTCAAATGCTTTTGGCCGTTCCTCAGCTTCTTGAAATCGAACTTTAATTGGAGTGCCAATTTTCTAAAACAAAGGTAACAAATTAGTATTTGTCATCATCATGTTTTAAAAGTCTATAGTCTAAAGCACAGCCACTGCTTTCAGAGGGAAAAGAAGGGCCTACCATTAATTCTTCTAACTTGTCCACATAGGCTTGTTTTGCTTGGTCCTCTCCTTCCTCATAGAGCCAGTCCTCGGTCTTGGTGAGCAGTTCTAAAAATTTTTGATGGTCCTATATGTGAAACATGAGAACCAACATGACCAAGAGTCATAGTCAGAAATGTTAAACACTAAGTACCTGCTTTTATTTCAAGGAAGGCACATGAATCAATTGGATTCTCCTCATTAAAATGTATGAAGGATCAATGTACTCTACTATCAATCCCATGCAGTATTTCCCATGAGGGATCGACGGTTATTCTTTGGCTTCTCTGTCTTTTACACTGGGACATCTGGGAATTTTTGACACTTACTGACTTACAATACTGTATCTTCAAAGTCTAATTATGGACAATTTTCACATTGAAATCTGAGTATAGAAGAGCAATTATCTTCCTACTCTTCAAAAACAGTTTGGTTGTGATAGTACCTTTCTATTCACGTCCACAACTACCAAATTAGAAGGCAAATTAGACAAATCAAGCATGAAAAACTCATTCCCATCCAACTCATATAAACTATGTACTGCTATTCTAGTCTTAGGTTTGGGCTAACTCTACCTCAGAATCACCACCATAACCAATCTAGGAAATGTTAGGGCAGAGACGAGAACTGAAATATCACAAAAATCTTAGGACTAAAATAGACTCCTAAGTTTAAACTCTTTTAACTTCAGAATTAATCCTTCAACCATCCTAGATCTCTATCTAGCCATCTTTTTTCCAAGTCCCATCTTTAACAATTGCGCTTCTGGGATTTACTCAGAAGCCTACTGACTTTGAGAGCTTAGACAAGGGCTAAGGAGATTGGGGGCTGATAAACTTTGGATTGAATGAATAAACAAGATTTTTGAGATAAATAAGAGCAAGCTAGTCATAAAATTTTTTTTTAGGTCTCTGAAAGCAAGGGTTTTCAATTTATCTTTTTAGCCTATGTAACTGTGAATGTCATAGGCTCTGAATATGATTGGTTTTTTCTTGTAGATGGTAAAAACTAAAGTATCTTTGGTATTAGCTAGATAGAAATATTGTACACCACTAGTGAGCCTCTCTCTGGGGTTTTGTTTATACAATTTCTATTTCTAGATTTTTTTGTTTCCAAAAAGCTTATTATATAATCTAGCAGAGATTCAAATGCTAAATTTGATATTAAGCACGTTATAGCTGAATAAAAACCAGACTCTAAACATACCTGCTCACAGATGAATTTTTCATATGGTCCACACAGCTTATCTCGGAACTCATACACATATTCCTCCACTGCATTTTTAGCATCGTTTCTTTCCTTCTCCAATTTATCCTGCATTATCATCTTACCCTGTTAGGGAATAGAAAAGGTTAATTCCAGCCTTCTATTATCTGTAATAAATTGTACCAAAAAATTAGTATTAACAGTTCTAAATTATACCTCATATAACTTACAACAAACCCTACAAAGTTCTTCATTTTCTAACATTATATAAAAAATTACATAGCTTTCTCATTTGAGATTTAATACTAAGATGAAAAAAACAATTCATGGCTTTTATATTATTTTGTCTTCTTTTATGGAGTTACATGGTTGTCTCATCTTGGAATTAATATTGACCAATAGATAATGATCAGACTACTCTGCCATATTTAAAAATCAAGGATAAATTACTTATATTTATTGTTAAATTTCTAAACAGTGTTCCTATCTGAGTGCAGAAAAAAAATGAATCTTAATCATCTCACACTCTAGACTATGGAAAAGCACATGTTTTAACAGAAATATTCAATGTGGTCTGAAATACCAATTATACTGTGCCCAGTGCTAGAAAATACTGGCATCAAATTTCTTTATAAGGACTTGGAATCAATTTTATACCAAGCAGAATGGTATAGATTTCTTTTGTTACAAAGATGAAAAAACATAAAATTTGTTTAAAATTTTAATTAAACCCTCATCAGGTAGCTCAGTTAGTTGGAGAATCATCCTGACATGTGAAGGTTGCTGGTTCGATCCCTGGGCCAGGGCACATACAAGAATCAACCAATGAATACATAAATAAGTGGAACAACACATCAATTATTTCTCTCTCTCTCTAAAATCAATCAATAAGAAAATAAACTAAAAAGCCACTGATTTTGGTTTCACTCTAAAACTGTATAAAACTTGGGATACTAAAAAAGATTACAGCCATTTATTAGAAATATGGACAATAGGACCAAACAATTAAAAATATTCTAAAGAAAAGATAATTACTGAAAGTACCTACCTCTGTTTCAATGTACATGTTCAGCAGGTCTCTCCCCAGCTGATAGACTAAGTTGGCCTCAACAGGTAGCTCTACATTCACTACCTTGATTTTGGGTTTTTTAGCTTCAGGAGGCTGGTCAACCTTCTTTTCATTTGCCTTGGGAAGGAGGGAAAAAAAAAGAAAAAGAAATTCTTAAAGAATCCTTGAAAAACAAAACGAATAAAACTCCTTATCATACTGATGACATACGCAAAAATAAAATCCTCGTAACTCTGAAATTGAAGTGTGGTGTAAGCTTATCTGATTTCCACCCGCCTGTTTTTAATCAGGGCTGCAATGACATATAAGCATGGCACATTCTCATTTGGGAATTCACCCATACATTTCTTTTCATATTAAACTTAAATCTCTCCTGCTAAAGCTTTTCTCCATTGGTCTTTACCTTTTCATCCCTTTAAGCAATATTTGTGACTCTGAAGAGTAAAAAAAAAATTGCTGCATCTTTATAGTCTAGAATCTGATAATAACTGCAGACTGATCAATGCTAGCAATGTTAAGGTCAACACTATCTCTTTAATATATACATACCTAAGTCCTTATTTCCCAATATTATACCTGCTTGATTACAATTAGCACCACACTGATGAGTGAGTGCCTTTCAAAATGTTCTACTGAATTTGGAGATTACACACATATACCTGTCTGTATATATATACATATATCCTTATCCCTACTACCTGCTTCTGAGTCATATTACTTCTCATAAGCAACTTCCCATGGTCAAGAAATATGTCTTAAAATAGCAAATAAAATGATGTAGCTACTGCTAATAATTTATTGTAGATTTTTCAATATATTTAAATACAGGGCTAAAGAAGTAAGCATCTCCTATGGCCTTTAATTTTCCAATTCCAAGCCTTTTCTGGGTATTTCTAATTCTGCAGGTTCTCACTTGTAGAAAACAGATTGGAAGATAACCAGGAGATATATCACATGTACTCTGGTTGGCTGGTTTGGTCAAGTACACAGAAAGCTCTGCCAATAGATAACTTTGGGGAGCTATTACGATATTAAAATTCTAGGCAGTTTACAGAAAAAACTGGGACTTGAAAAAGGTTCAATTATTTGCCTAAAATTACAAAGACAGAGATGGGATGAGAACTCTCATTTCCCAGACTTCTACTTCAGTGCTCCTTAGAAATCCCACACCTTTGAAATGCTGTAAACTCTGTCAGTAGCAATGACCCAGTCAGTCTGCCTCTATTCTAGTGCACAGGAGAACTCTCCAATATAATGTGCACCCTCGGGGGGCATGACCACCAGACAAACAAATGGATCAGTTGATACCTACACTTAGCAAAACGCTGGAGAACAACAGATGTTTGGGAAACAAATGGATGATAGTCTGTGTCTGACTGATAAGTTCGGTTAAGAGTATCTGGCAATACAACATTAAACCAACTACTGACAAAACCAATTTATCATCACAACATGGCATTTGAGGAACCCTCCGAAGAAGTGAGTGAGAATGTTCCAAAGGGCCCGACACTGATGCCTCCCCCTACAGCTTAGAGCATGATGTGCTACTAATGGCATGTTTCAGACAGGTGTCAACATCATCAGCACCATCAGTTAATGTCAAAGTGAGTGAGGGGAGTGATGCTAAAATCAAGGAGCTGTTACTACAAACAAAGCAGTGCTGCCCCACTGACACCATTAACACTCTAGCAGAAGAAAACAAGGAAGGCTTTCAGAAACTAGAACAAGGACCTATGCTTCACATTGGGACCCCTATAGGAGCAATCAGGACACAGGACACTTCCACCAAGTGTAAAACATATTTTGACACCAATGAACAATCCTGTAATTCATCAAAAGTAAAGAATTCTACATTCACAATGAGAAAACAAAACCATTAATGGAAGGTTAATAATTTGCATGCAACTTGCATAAGGAATAAACTTCTGAAAAGCACAGAATGATATGAAGATAAAGGAAACTTTCTAATATCCATCTGACCATGAAATTTAAAGGTTTAGGAAATGACATTTTTAAAGAGACACAACGCAACTATTTAATTTAGCTTCCAACACATGCTGTGCAAACAGAGCAAATGAACAATTTCTTGGAAAGCAATCTGATTATTTTCAGATAATCCTAATTTATTCAAAATTGACACGTGACTTGAGAGGAGGAGAAAGTTCACTAGACTCTTGTAGCCCATGTATTTATATAAGACTAATTCAAGTGGAAACGAATCACACAGCCCCGGGATGTATCTATTTCTGCTCTTCACAAGTACTTTTGGCAACAGAGAAGACAACCAATGCTATGTGCTCATCTCTTGTTGCGGCAATAAAACAAGAGAAGCCTTCAGGACTGAAGCAGGAAATTCAATTCCCTTAGCTGAGCTTGAGTACCTTCATCTGGTTTTCGCTGAAAAATACATAGAAAATTGACAGGAGAAAAAATCCTACTTAGACTAAATAAGACTATTTGGTGCTTGTTCCTGAAACTGCAATTTAATATTATTAATGATCACACGTTGCAACATTGTCCATTGGAATGAACTAGAAGCATCACTCACTTTGTCAGCATCTGGGGTTTTGTTCTCCTCTGAGGTAAGTTCAGGTGAAGGGGGAGACTGTGAGGTCTGTTGACCATCAGTTTGTACCTGGGGCTGTGTTCCAGCTTCACTGCTGTCTTGCTGGACATTTTTCTGAAATGAAAGCCCAGGCACAAAGGATGTAGAAAGCAGGTGTACTTGGAAAATGTAAAGGTTACAGGGTACCCGAAACAGTATGCTCAATTTCTGAAATCTTAACAGGTGGGGAAAGAGACCGGATAAAAGCAAAATGAACACAAAATATCTTAAAACTTCTTTGCAATTTTAAATCCATAAAAATTATCCGAATGACAGCACTTCATATAGTTAGATAATACAAATAGTAGGCATTTTAATAGATGTGATGACACTAACTCTCTATTAAGAAACTTCCACCTCGCCTTGTACAGATATTGACTCTCGGAAGCAAATGGGTTTACCTCAGACCTGTCCCAGAGAAAAGCTTCCAAAACCTAATTTAACCAGAAGCCATCATGCATGTGGACATATCTCAATTTCAATAAACTGAACAGTTACATGAAAGAGCCAACCATCAGTTATTCAGGGGCTCATCATGATCCCTCTGTCCCCAACGCTTGTCATCTGACTAGTTACAACCAAATGACCTCAGAATAAAGATTATATGCTACATGTTAGTGACTTCCATCCTTCTGCTCCATCCTCAAGATTCTCTTTTCTATCAGAGCTTTGAGATTCTAAGGCTTAATCAACAGCCAACATTTGACTTCACAATATGTGGTCTATATTTTTTTAAAAAAAGTGTTCAGAAGCCAGGCACTCCTGATATGTCCAGAAGGTCCCAACAGACTGACACAACAGGCATTAGAACAATGGTGTCTGTAACCAAATGAGAAAGAACACGGCCCTGGTCATTTTACTCATTGTACTGAAGTCTTTCTACATGAGAACAATACTAAGGCTCAGACACTAATGTTCCTACATGTTCTAGAAATAAGAGGTCTCTGACCACTATTGTCAAATCTTAACTAAAACACTATACTGCCTGGCCCCTCATTTAAGCGATTTCTGATTATTATCCAGAAGTAAACTTAATAGCTGATCTATTTTAAAGTTTCTGAAAGGTCCTCTGTTAGCACTCATGCTTAAGGAAGTCTAAATTACAAACATTCCCAGTAACAACTTTCTATGCTATAGAAAGACACTTTTTTTCCTTCCTCTCACAATACAGCAAACCATGAAAATAAAAGCAAGTTCGTTCTAAATTGCCAAAACCAATTTTGATATTAAAAACAAAACAAAACAGCTTTAATATTTAGTATATATTTCACCAATTTTTTGTAGTAGTTTTTGTTTCCCTTTTCCTTTATCACCAGCCAACATTTGACTTCACAATATGTGATCTATGCTTAAAAAAAAATAATAATGCAAAGAAATTACTCTAATTGTCATATGCCAGGTTCAAATTAATCACAATTCACCACATTCCAGGCTATATATTAACATTATATAGCAACTGTGAAAAATCATTATCAAAAAAGCTAACCAAAATTAAGCAAAACCTATCAATAGTTTAACCCTTCTCTTATAGATCAGGATTAACTCAACTATGTATTCAAACTCAAAGGTTCATCCAAACTTACCTCAGCCTCTGGGTTTTCTGGAGGTCTCTGGCTGAGACACTCTACATCTGCTTCAACAGAAGGCAGCTCACTGTTCTCAGCAGGGACTTTCTCCACCATAGACGCTGTAGAGATGGTGAAAATGCCATGTGTGTTGACTCGCACTTTCACTTTCACTTTTGATTTTTCTCCATCTTTCTGTGCAGAAACATTCTGAACTATGAAGCGGCCTGAATAAAAATAAATTGACAATTTAAAAACTAAATCCACATCTCTGTAAAGAAGATAAAGGCTTCTTCATCCTGGTTGGTGTGACTCAGTTGATTGGACGCCATCCTATGCACCAAAAAGTTGCCAGTTCGATTCCTGGTCAGGGCACATGCCTGGGTTGTAGGCTAGATCCCTGGTAGGGGTCCAGCAGGAGGCAGCCAACTGATGTTTTGCTCTCACATCGATGTTTTTCCCTCTCCCTTCCTCTCTCTCTAAAAACCAAAAAAAAGTCATAGGCTTCTAAGAACTTAAAACTTTAAAGTACTGCTATTCCAATACCTCCCCATTTCCTTCAGCAATTGTATTAGATTTAAGCCATTTAATGTATATTATAACTATAACCTCTTAAAATAGACAAGCCTCCAGTATAATTATAATTATAATATTTGGGCTTAATCTTAATATGCTGTGAAATGTCCAAAAGCTAAGGACACATTTGTGACTGTTTCTATTTAACATTTATGACCCAGCCATTATGTGGAAAACACTAATAATGATCAGTAGTCACTATCTCCTCTCATCCTACTTCTCCTGGCAGGTGAGCGCAAACTACAGGTGAAAATCTGGCAAGTGAAAGGCTGATTGTTATCAGACCATGCTGCATTTTCATCCTACAGGGCTTTCAGAGAATGTATTTTTTCTGATTGAATAATCAAAACAGTTTTCTAGGTTTTAAATAAGTAAGGTGAGCTAAAACCTTTATCAAAACTTCATATTATTATGCACAACAGAGTAGTTCTAGAACACTAAGGAGTTGAAAGCTGAAGCTGACCCAGATAATCCGGGCTCGAATCCTGGCTGTGTGACGAGCGGCCTTTACATGCTTCTATGGAGTAAGCTGATGTTTATAGTGAGCATGGAAAACTATGTAACCAAGAACTGTCAGTGACCATCTCCACCAATAGTAGTACTGTTACTCCAGAGATTACTAAATCAAACTTAAGTAGTGTGAACATACTATGTGCAAAGCGCTATATAGTACTGAACAGCCTTGTATCGAAGGTGCTATCTACACAAACACAAGAAAGTTACAGCGAGAGATGTTGAAATAGACCTTCATTAATGATTAATACACTAGTTCAGGAAATGATTGCTATAAGACCCATTAAAAAACAGCATTTATGCCTGGCAAGTGTGGGTGTGGCTTAGTGGTAGAGTGTCAACCTATAAAATCAAGAGGTCACGGTTCAATTCCCAATCAGGGCACATGCCTGAGTTGTGGGCTGAGGAAGATGTCTGAGGCTCTCCAAAAGACTTCTAGAGTTACTGTGGGTCAAAACAGATGTACAGTGTCAAGCCTCTCCAAGAAAAATGTACCAAAAAAGATATACTTTTAAAAATATGTAGGTACATTTGAGAAGTAGGTCAATGGTTGCTAACCCAGGTTTTACACTGGAATTCACCTATAGAAAGGTTAATGTTAAAAGTAGGTGGTAATTCCTTAAATATAGACTATATCAGAATAGGAAACATGTCTATATGTTCTTAAATATAGATCCTTAATAGCAGCACTAACTAGCAAGTCATTTTACCTCTGTAGGCTAGTTTATTCTCAATAAAACAAAGATTTCTCCATTGCCATTATCCTAAATGTGAATGCAAAAATGCCTTCACTTAGAATTATGTTCCATGCAACACTGCTAAGAATATATGAAAAAGTTTCAAGTTTGTGCATGAAATTAAACCTTAAGAGTAAATACACAGTTAATCACTTTACCTATTTTTGCTTCAGGGTATGGAACGCCTTGAGGATCAGAATAGAAAGCTTCCAGTTCAAAAGGTCCGCTTCTCCAAAAGGTGAGAACTTTGGAGAAGGGAGCAGCATGGTTTTGACCAAACACTTCGTGAACTCTAGAGAAAGAAAAGGCAGTTAGCATGTCAAGTACTTAAGCTTACTGTGCTACATAAACACAACAGGAACATTCCAAAGTCTGTATCAAGTCTACCACTTATAACACCAAAATGACAGAAATACTGATAGGTTTTGTTGTTGAAAAATCCCAGTTAATTATACACAGTAGTATAAAAGTCATTCTTTTATATTAAATCACATTACCTAAAAGTTATTTTCTGATACATACCCTTCAGTGTCTTCTGAATCGTTGTTCCAGACCAGAGATATGGGAAAAGGAACTGCATCTGTGATGGAAAACTCTCTAACTTTAAATGCTGGAGACAAGATTGCACACTTCAAAAAAGAAAGATAGAAAGGAAGAATTCCCTTGAGTACATGAATAATTCCACTCATCTTTTAACAAAACTCAATTCAAACTGGATGAATAAGCTTAAATTCAAATTCAAAATTGCTGACAGTATATGTCAACTATAAAAACTTCCCACAGGTTTCTGGGAATGTTAGCTAAGGAGGCATACCCCTTAGGAAAAAACTAAAATAAAAATCCCATAATGGTTCCTGATGATACAACAGATAACCAGTAATAAATAGCTATAAATTCTTTCCTTTTTTAAGTTTTAAAGGGTAGTCCTTCTAAATAGCTTTCTCCATAGAATCTCTTGCTTTATACAAAACAAAAACCTATGCTGCCCTAGATGGTTTAGTTAAGTGGATAGAGTGTCAGCCTGCGGACTGAAGGGTCCTGGGTTTAATTCTAGTCAAGGGCTTGATCCCCACTGTGGGGCTGGCAAGAGGCAGCCAATCAATGATTCTCTGTCATCATTGATGTTTCTCTCTCTCTCCCCTCTCCCTTCCTCTCTGAAATCAATAAAAATATATTAAGAAAATAATAAGCAAATAAAAAAAAAAACCTATGCTAACCAGATCAAAACTCAAGCATATTAACTTGAAACTTCAGTTAAAACTATGTGACTATTATGCCCTAAATATAAACTAGTATTAATTTTTTAAAATCACTAACTTCTAGATTTGGTGCTTTTGCTTTGTCAAACATCAGGCCTCTGAGCTGCCTTCTTACTTGATAAGCAGGTTCAAAGCAATTTGAAGGGGGAGCAGCTTTTACCTAAAACCAGTTAACGAATACCCTAACCCTGCAAACTTCCCCCCACATCAATTCTGCATTACACCAGATTGCCATTCAAATTCACTCCTATATGCTTTATAACAACTGTGACAACCCATACCCTGCAGCTAATTTTTGCATAACAGCCATTTTCTGTGATACCCTAGAATCATGCCAATAGTTTCTCATCCCCAGTTTGAGAAACACTAGTTCTGTAGTCCTTTAAATTTCCTGGATCTTCTACATTTGAAGATCATCTTCTTCCTATAGTCTTACGGACTTATTTAAAAGTAACTCCCCTTTGCCGGGACCGGTTTGGCTCGTCGGCTTGGGGACTGAAGGGTCCTGGGTTCGATTCTGGTCAAGGGCATGTACCTTGGTTGCGGGCATATCCCCAGTAGGGGGTGTGCAAGAGGCAGCTGATCGATGACTCTCTCTCATTGATGTTTCTAACTATCTCTCTCCCTTCCTCTCTGTACAAATCAATAAAATATATTAAAAAATAAATAAATAAAAATAAATAAATAAAAGTAACTCCCCTTTGATATCTAATTAGGCACACCATGATACAATGAGGTGGAAGAGGTTCTGGCATGAGAGCAAGAGAAGGGCTCAGGAAGCGTACCTGCAATGCACAGCCTCTGGCAACTGCTTCATCTGCATTGAGTGTTGTGCTAACATCTTTTCCAAAGAATCTGGCAATTTTTTCTTTCACAGCTGGAATTCGTGTAGTGCCCCCAATTATCTCAACAGCACTCACATCTTCTACTTTGAGCCGTGTCTGTTCCATCAATGAATAAAGGGGAACTTCTATCTTTTGCAGGAGTTCAGCACAGAGTTCTTCAAATTGTGCCCTTAGTGAGTAAAAGGAACATTTTGTAAGTCTTAGAAAAATTACCTAAAGGCCAATATCTTGTTTTAAACAAATTCTATCAACCTGGTGAATTTACTTTTTTTAAAAATCACCCAAGTTTAACTCTTAATTTACAACTTTAAAAAAATATATAAACATATGAAACAGGTGCAGAAAGGGGGTGAGGGTAGAGGAGAAAAATTAGTTCTACCGAGTATTATTGGAAAAATCACTTTTACATAAAGACTGACATTTCACTTCTAAATGATTTCTGTGATCCAATTCTCATTACTCTAAATATTTATTTCCATTGATTTGAAAATATTCCTGTGAGATATTTGGTGAAACCACTATTCAATTACTGGCTTAGAAGTACTAAGAAGTGAAAAATACCAAAAAGACTTTCATTACATCTTTGCAGAAGTGCCCTAGCTCTGAGGAAGTTGGTTCAGTCTGTCCAGCAGGCAGTGCACAACTGTGGGCCAAGACACACAGCACTACAGTCAGAACCAACCACTGGGCTCTGAGCCAGACTGAGCTCTTCCTATTTACTCTTGCAGATTTCAGAACGCACCTGTTCATCTTTCCCATCACGTCCTGGTCATTCATGAAACACTCAATGCTCAGTGGCAGGTCCATACTGTTGGAGCTCATTAGCTTTTTCAATTTCTCACACTCTTGATACAGACGAAGAAGGGCTCGAATTTTGGATTTTGCATCCAACTTGTACTTAGTTTTAAATTCTGCACAAAAATGTTCTACTAACTTTTCATCGAAGTTTTTTCCTCCCAAGAAAGGATCAAACGCTGTTCCCAGTACCTAATTTAGTTAAAACAACAACCTGGTTATTTTCAACCATATGTTTTCCTACAGTGTTAAACATTCCTACTCAAACAATTTAAGACTAATAAGCTCAATACTTCTCCCTAAATAATAACATGAAATCTAAGTCGTTAGGAGAAATATAACTAAAATTCAAATGAAATACTTAATCTCGAAAATAGTTTTGACCTTTTATGATTACACAGGTGGCCTAAAAAAGCTTTTCTTCCCTAAACAAGAACATTAGAGCAGCGGTCTCCAACCTTTTGGAACTCACGACCACCAGTGGTCCCTGGACCACCTGCTGGCAACCGCTGAGCCATCATCTTTGCGAACAAATCTTTATTCATAACATTACCCAACACTCTTCATTACCAAGACCATAGTCAAGAAGCTCAGTAGCTTAAGGTAAAGACAAATATAACACTTAATAGGTTTTGGTCACTTAATTACCATTTTTTACTTTACCTTCAATTTCCCCTTGTTAAAGGCACAGGCAGACACCTGTAGAGCTGAGTGTCCCATATCAACAAAAACCACTATCCGAGGTTTCTCATCCGGGCCTGGGAGATCGGGCTTATAAATTCCATAGTTCAAAGCAACTACAAAAAAATTAACTGAGTTTCAATTCTTTCATTCAAGGTTTCGCAAGAATTTCACTGTTATGATATAACTAGTGTCCTGGTGCACGAATTTGTGCACACTGAAAGGAAATTAATTAGAAGAAATATTTTAATTTCACTATTCGCCGTTTCTCTATAATAGAAGTGTCAACAAAATACACAATCAACAATGACAAATTAAAACACAATAGTGTGATTGGCACCAGCAAGAACTTTGTATGTATTACACATGGACAAGTTAACTTAGCACTATATACTATCTACTAAAAGATCAATATGCAAATTAACCATCACTCCACTACACCCACAAGCCAATCAGGAGTGAATATGCAAATTAACCCCACCAAGATGGTTGAGGCCACGGAGCAAGCAGGAGGCTTGGGTTTCCCCGGCAATGGAGGAAGCCAAGCTTTCCACACACCCTGGCCAGCCCAGGCCTCCACTCAAGGCTACAAAGTTTCAATTATAGAAGATAAAGAAATCCCAACAAAAATGGTGGCAGCCACAGAGCTGGAGAAAGCAGAAGACTTGAGTTTCCCTTGGCGATGGAGGAAGCCAAACTTCCGCAGCCCTGGCTTGCCTTGGTCTCTGTTCAAGGCTACAAAGATTCAATAATAGAAGATAAATAAATCCCAACAAAAATGGCTGTGGCCACTGAGCAAGCAGGAAGCATGGCTCTCTGCACAAGACCACAAAGTTTCAATTATAGGAGATAAATAAATCCCAGATTCCAGGGCCTTCACTTGGGTCGCCAGGGAGTGTGACTGGCCTTCAGACTACTCAGGTTCCTTGCCCAGGCCACCCCATGCTCCAAGGGAACCTCCACTCTGATCTGGGACACCCTTCAGGGCAAACCAGCTGGCCCCCACCCATGTAGCAGGCCTCTATCCTATCTAATAAAAGAGTAATATGCAAATTGCCCATCACTCCAACACACAAGATGGCTGTCCCCATGTGGACACAAGATGGCTGCCACAAGATGGCTGGCAGGGGAGGGCAGTTGTGGGTGATCAGGCCAGCAGGGGAGGGCAGTTGGGTGGGACCAGGTCTGCAAGGGAGGGCAGATGTGGGGGATCAGGCCTACAGGGGAGGGCAGTTAGAGATGACCAGGCCAGCAGAGGGAAGTTGGATGCAACTGGGCCTGCAGGGAACAACGGTTGGTGGGGGGACCCAGGCTTGCAGGACAGAGCAGTTGGGGGGGTACAAGGCCTACAGGGGAAGGCAGTTAGGGGTGACCAGGCCTTCAGGGATGGGCAGTTGGGGTGACCAGGCCTGCATGGGAGGGCAGTTAGGGGCAAACAGGCTGGCAGGGGAGCAGTTAGGCATCAATCAGGCTGGCAGGGGAGTGGTAGGAGGTGATAAGGTTGGCAGGCAGAAGCGGTTAGGAGCAATCAGGAAGGCAGGCTGCTGTAAAGCCTAAGACCATCAGAAAATATAGATGTTTACATTACAATTCATCAACAGTAGCAAAATTAGAGTTATAAAATAACAACGAAAATAATTTTATGATTGGGAGTCACCACAACATGAGAAACTGTATTAAAGGGTTGTGGCATTAGAAAGATTGAGAACTACTGCTGTAGGAGGCAAGAGTGACCACTTTGCTCAACATTATATCCACACCTCAACCCGATGCCTAGCAAACGGTACAGCTTAGAATTTGAGAGAGAGGATCAATGCCTAACCATATATATTCAGGAAATATAGGAGGAAAACTTTACCAGTAATTGTAGTCAAGGTAGTTGTTAAGACCCAGAATCGTAAGATTTAGAGAAAAATTGTTTCTTAACTATAAAAACAATCTAAGAAAATTTAAAAACTAAATCCAACACAACTAATTCAAAAAATAAATATATACAGGTTACACTTGTTTATATGGAAACTAATACAATAAATAATACAAGAATACAGTTTTGTGTACTCACAACTGTAAACCTACTTTTGCCCCATCCTGTGTGTGTGTGTGTGTGTGTGTGTGTATTTAAAAGAATTTTCTAATGAAAACAGATAAATAAATCTGAGAAAGTACCAATTTCTCATTAAATGTAAGCATCTGGAAAGCTGAAGTTGTGCTTTCAAACCTAAAACTTTAATAAACTGTATTTCTATATCGATGTGAAAAATTGTTTAGTAATTGTTTCTGATGTGTCTTAATTCTAGTTATGGTAGTATAGTCACTCCACTCAAAAAGATTTTGCTTACCAGCTGTCATATCATTCATGAGTCTTAAGCAGTTTAGACCAACAATTTGTGCAGCATCTAATACAGATCGCCTCTCAGCATCTGTGAAGAAAGAGGGGACCTAAAGAAAAGGAAGAAAAGAATTTTAAAATATTTAGAACACAAGAATATATATCAATACAAATTCCTTATAACAACTTGTACTAAATTCATAGGTGCCTTAGCTAGGTCATAAACCAGAAATAGACCTTTAGGCTTAGTTTCTTAACATTCAGAACAGTAACTTACTTTTGAAAAGATTGTCCTAAACTTATCAAAGGATGGAGTTTTTTATGGTGTTGAGTGAGGCGCTTCTAACTAGGTTATTTTTATCACTTTTCTAGGACAGTATTTAACTAGGATACTCAAGATCATATAACATAGAAGCACTTAACTAGAAAGTACATAAGACTTCGTGGCTTTCACATTTTCCCCCCCAAAGTATTTGTAGATGCTTCAGAAAGAGACAAAGACAAGAGCTAATGTGGGTCTCTGCTCACCTTTCAAATCAGAACACCGCTTTCATCAGTTTTTTTCATCAAGTTAAAGAAAAATAAAAAAGGAAGAACCACTGACTTATAATTTAACTAGAGGCCCAGTGCATGAAATTCATGCATGGGTAGGGTCTCTATGACTGGCCTATGAACAAGGCCAATCAGGGCCTTCTGGCTGCCTGCCAGGGGTTCCCTTCATTTCACGCCACCCCCTGGTGGTCAGCACACATCATAGCATAAGATAGAACTCCCAGTCTCTCTCCCGCAGGGACACTGCATATTAGCCTTTTATATATATATATATATATATATATATATATATATATATATATATATATATATATATATATATATATATATAGATTCTTTAATTTTACAAGAAATTAATGTAATTTCTCCAAGCAACAGGCAGACAACCCTGTGGTAGATCATATTCTATCTTATAAGAGCAAGAGAAGAAATTTTAGCGCTCTCTCTCTCTCTCTGTTCTTTCATATCCTAGAATATACTGCATAAAGGTTCTGACTAGTCTGGGAAAGTCACCCAAATTATGCAATCACACAAAGATCATGGTGTAGGTAAGTCCTGGGGAAGAGTTCATAAAGTTACCCTAGACATCTGGGAGAACAGAATTTAAAACTACTCTTTTGGTGTCCAAATAAAAGGTAGGTAACCTTTGTCCATTTCAAATACTCCTTGATAACTTATCAATTGTCCATTGAAGGTAATATGTTGGCTAGTGCTGAAAATCTAGGTTTTGTCACTACTGGTAGGTTACATTTTAAAACTTCTAATTCACTGGTTTTCAATTTGAGGATTGAATTTAGAAAAACTCTCATGTATGTATACAACTTGTCTAACAGTGAATATCCCCCATTCTACTTATCAGTCTGTATTTTCAAAAAGCCTCATGGGAGATTTTTATTTGTATCTCAAGAATCTTTGCCCTTTCTGGCTAAAAATACAATTCAAACCTCCTCTGAAATAATCCAGACTATGCTAACAAGGCCCATAGAATTTTGATTCTTAGTAATAGAACTGCTTTCACAAATTGTATTATACTTGTGAGTAACATAAAGCAGGTTAAAATAAGACACATTGCCTTGCAGAATTTTACTTACTGAAATAACACAATCTGTTACTGGTTTCTTGAGGTTGTTTTCAGCAGTTTCCTTTAACTTAGTCAACAGCATGGCTGTTATCTGTTCCACACTAAACAGATGTTCTTCATCCATGTACATTACCTATATTGAAGAAAATGTTTTAACTAGTGGAAATTAAAATTACCTGCTAATATTAACTCCCAAATATTATTACATTATCTCTTCCAGAAAATCTCTATAGTTATAGTTGTTTAGGGGAAAAGAAAAGGAAAGGGGGAAGGGAAAGAGAAGCAAAGAAAAAAAGGAAGAAAGAACGTTTTTTTCCCTACTGATGAAGAGGAAAATAAAAACTAGAGCAGATTTTCCCTACCCAAAGTACTAGTCAAAACATTATGGAAGGTAGCAAATTTCTACTCTAACTAAAGATCTGAACCACTGGGTTAAATATTATTTTGTGTAGATCATCAGATGGGAATGCTTCTGCAAGTTTAAAAAAAGATTTCTGGTAATGTTACAAGGCTGAGCTCCAAACAATGCAACTGGGCTGCACTGGACAGACTTTTATTTGACATGAAAACACAACTTAGGATTTTTAAGCACCACTAAATTTTACAATTGTCAGGAAATTATAAGAAACACAAATTAAGTTACAGCTGTATAAAATGTTTGAATAATTTTCAAAGACAATTTAAATATATACCTAAAGTTTAAAAGAAGTAGAAAACAAAGGAATAAAAAGACTATATTGTACAATTAAGGAATGAGAGCTAAGTTTTCATTAAGAATTAAGTACCGTTCTCTATAGATAAGTTAGTTTCCTATTAAGATAAAAAGTTAGTTGCTCAATTATATTACCTTTATTCCAACGCTACCATTTTTCATCTGAACCAAATCATAACTTAAGTTTTCCTTCTCTTTTTGAATGAAGGGGTCATTAAATGTTCGGCCATGAAATCTCTTAAAGTTAGACACTGTATTGTTTGCATGAGTGATTTGCTGCACAAGAAATCAGAGATTTTAAATTATTTTCTAATTTCAACATCTATTAATATTAGTACTTAAAACCATTTTACAAAAAGTCTCTTGTAGAACTCAAACCATGTGGTTATAAGTAACTTTCCCAGAGCCCTGAATTTCCCCATCAATGAATGGACTTTATTCTTTCTCCTTTTCCTATAGGTAGGCAGTGAGATGCAACAAGAGGCAGTATTGTCACCACAGACTAAAACAGATTTCAAAATATGCAAGATATTCTTGTACTTCATTTCATTCTTGCTCTTCTCTAAACTTGTTTTCTACCCATTGAATGGATAAATAAGATCTAGATGTACTATAGTCAAATTACATTTTTTAAATAAAGGGTTCATTGTTATAGTCTAATAAATTGTTAAGTGGCCAGAATAAACATATGTGCCACAAAATACCTGGATTGCTACTTTTCCAACCATTAGCATGCAATGCTAATTATCAATACCAAAAACCAGAAGAGGCAAGGAAAATTCAAAACTTTCTGAATGACCTAATACTTTCAAATGCATGTACATATTTTTTATGATTAGGCTCTGGATTAAGAAGTCCCACTTCACAACATTGTTTCACGCAAACACACCAGCAGAAAGAATCTTATTTAAAATATAGAAGTAATTAAAAAGGTTAAGAAATAAGTTATCAGGTCAAAAATACCAAAACAGTTCACCAATTACTTTTTTCTCTGACTTCCTTTTTTTAAAGGAAGAAATACAGTTTGGTAGCATTTATTTTCAAACAATAGAAGTAAAAGCAAATTTATAATCTAAAACTCCTGTGATTCTATAACTGAGATAAAGAATGTCTAATAATCTACAGGCCAGATCTGAGCCTCAACTGATTCTCCTCACATAACCACAAAAATGCAATAGAAGTCTCTCTCCTTTTAAGTATGCATACCTATTTCTCTTTTCTCTTGTTATCTCTTCCAAATAACCATAGTATAGTATTCTAGGGTTTTGAATTTTATTTCTTTTTTTAGCAATACTCTTTCCTTTTTTAAAAAGAATGTTTCAGTATCTCTCTTAAAGCCTCTCAAAGGGCGGTTCATTTTTTTTTTCCTCCTATATTTTCCGCCCACAACTCCACGAGTTATAAGATGAGGCCTAAAAGGGAAGGACAGATGTACATTTCCTGGACACATTAAGTACTAACAGGTGAAATTAATTTCAATAGCTATTTAGCCTAAATCTAAAATACTATCATTTCTACATGTAATGTAAATATTGGTGAGATACTTTATAAAATATAGGTGAGATACTTCAGTTTAAGTGTTCAAAATCTCATGTGTGTTTCAATTCAGAAGACTAGGCACATTTCAAGTGCTCAGCAGCCATGTGTAGCTAATAGCTGCAATATAAGAGCATGGTTTAGAGACAAAAAGTTCTCCCAGTCATACTTTAAATATTAAGTAACCTGAAAACACTTTTAAACACAGAAATTCTAGAAAAAACTTTTAATTCTTAAATGAGTATTATGCGAAACTTGACAAATTACATAAGTTAGAAGGTAGTGAAGTTACTAAAAATTAAGGTTGGCAGATTAGACAGTAAAAGCAGATCCTATTCTTTCATTCAATAAGACAAGAAGGGAACAGAAGAAAAAAATAACCATTCTAAGTAAGGGCTGATAAAGATACATTACATTTTGAAAACTCAACAACAGATAGGCTTAGGTATTTCACATTCCTGCATGTCCTTGAGATTTCACCTTTAAAACCTCCCCCTTAAAAATTGACCAGAATTCTCTTAAAGAACATACCTGATTTTTGGCTGCAACTCCAATTGTTCTGTTTTTTGACCCAAATGATATGACTGATCTATAAAAAATATAAAAACATTTTTAAAACGTGTTTTAAAAATGTGGACATTTTTAGCTGACAAGAGATAAAATTTAACATAAAGTTCCTACCCATGGAGGGGAACAAATGTAGCACAACTCTGAAGTCTAAACTTTGCTCAAATACTCAGAGGGGGTACAGGTCTGTTCATTTAACTGCTACTGAAAATCCAGTCTAGGTGGTAGTCCTACTCCCTTCCTCTACCCCCCAAAAAATAGTCTGCCCATAGCTCAGGGGACAGTTTCCATGTGTATTTTTACTTAACATTTCAATTCTCCAAGCCCCATTGCTAGAAAGCAATGCTTCGAATAAAGGGTATTAACTTGGCCCTAGATATAAGCTTAACAAAAAGTATGGTGTTAACTACTTCTCAGTCACCAAGTGTACAAGTCTAAATAGCATTGTTACTTTTACTGCTGTCCTGATAATACATCTGCCTCTTTTAGAATCACAAGTTTTTCTATAAACCCACATAAGTGGGCCTAAGTTATTCTTCTGGGGTATATAAGCACAAAAGAGGGTCATTCATGGAAGATTCCACTTCGAAGCCAAGTAAAAATAATGCAGAGAAGTACCACAGCAAAACTGAGTATAAATGTGAAGAACCAGTTACATTGTTACCTTGAAGAGATGAAAAGTGACCCATAATTATGAGAGCGCCTTCCAGCGCGGGAAATAGAGTGGCACAGAGCGGGGAGACACACACACACACACACACACTAAGAGTCACAAGAAGGTACTGTAGGCGAATTAGGTTTCAGGTTCCAGAGCAGGTAGTTGTAATGGTAAAGATGAACAAAATGGGAACATACTGAGGGTATTGAGCACCAGGCTAAATCAAGTTTAACTTTGCTCTAACACAGACATCATAGACCTAGATTTTCTGAGCAGGTGTCATGTAATATCCCCAAAACTAGGGAAGTGTTCAAAAAAATGGAGCTTTTAAGATAACTTCCCAAACATTCTGAATTCAAAGTAACTATACACTCGCAGAATGCATTTACTCATTTTCTAAGAAAAATCAAATTAATTATATTAAAAAGAAAATTACCAGTTGCCAATGCAGTTGAATCAAACATCTATTGTATCAAAAACATTAAAGGGAATTCCAATACTGCCCACAGTTTAGTTTTGAGAGCCATACCTGTTGTCTTTAGTTTCACAGTGGTCACTAAAGGCACATAAACAATTCTTATCCTACCTTCAGTTTTTATAGGGATCAAAGAGAACAAAGATGTCAACTGCACCCAGGCCCCGGAGCCTGAGAGGCTGTCTTCCTCCTCACTGTCCTCCAAAGACTGGGCCCTTCGCCTCGCTACAAACAGGCTTTCCACAGGGGGGCCCAGCATACGCTGAGGGAATAAAGTCTTCCCAGCGCTGCAAGTGTTGTCAAGTGTTTGCTTATTTTGATTTTCCATTAACTTTCATAAATGTTCATCTCCACTTAGTGATACAAGCCCATTTTACCTTTCTGTTCAATGTTTCATTCTACGACTTTTATCTTGAGTTTAAGGCATTTGAAAATAAATGAAGGCATTAAAAAGAATCACCTACGTTACTTTCTCTGAAATATAAGCAGCTGTTTCCATTAACACATGTAAGCATGTTGTCTTCAGAAAATAAGCCCGGGGAAAAGGTTGCTTTTTAAAATGTCACCCCTTGCCCACTCCACGCCGCTGGTGAATAGAACATTTAATTCAGTAACGACTCCCATCTTATTAAGTTCTAGCCCTCTAGTACAAAAGCAGGCTATTTTTACTTTCTCTTCTTTAAACTGGGAAAATTTAATAACTAAATTAGAATAAGACTTAGGATCCCTTTTTCATAAAACGGGCAAAAAGGACGTTTCCATCCTCCACAGGGAAGCCAGGCAGAGGACAGCGCCAGAAGAACCAGGAGAGCGGGCGGGAAAGGGTGGATGGACCTGCTGAAGGGGCGGCGGACAGGCTCTGGAAGCTTCCAGCTCATCCGGAGACTCGCGGCGGGAAGAAGGCGCCGCGGCGGGGGCGGCGGGGGCGATTCAAACCGCGGCCCCGTGGCCGCCCTCACCGGCGCCCCGGGGCGATTCAAACCGCGGCCCCGTGGCCGCCCTCACCGGCTCCGACACCACAGCCCGGCCGTGGGCAGGTCCAGTCGGCCGCGCCCCGAGGCCCCCGCCCGTGGAACAGCGACCCCGCCGCGCTCCATCGCCCGCGCTCCGGGCCAGCTGCCCCCAGGCCCCTCGCGCCCCGGCCGCTCCGGGTCCAGCCCTCGCCCAGCGCCCCGCAGGGTCCACTTACGGGGTGCACCGGTCGCTGAATTCGTTGGCGATGGTCTCGATGCCCCCGGCCCGGGCCACCGCGATGTAGCAGCTCTGCGAGCCCACATCCAGCCCCACCACCGACATGACTGCTGGCGGTGCGCCTCCTCCGCCCCGAGTCTGGGTCCGGGTCCCGGGCAGCTCCTCCGGCCGCGGCGCGCGGCTCCCGCGGGTCCGACTGCTTCTCGGTCACTGGGCGCCCGGCTTCCCCGGCACCGCGGCGGCTGGCAGAGGGCTCACCGGAGGCAGGGGCGCCGAGTCTCCGCGGCCGCTCCGGCTCCCGCTCCCGCTGGATCCGCAGCTGCTGGCTCCGCGCTGCGCGCCCCAGAACCGACCCAAAAGGGGAGGCCTCAGCTCCTCAGCTTTATGTATCGCACTGATCAGAAGTTTCCAGAATCTGCGGCATTTACTCACCGGCGCCTCCACCGGCCCCTCCACGTGCCACTTCCGCTTCCTTCTTCTCGAGCCTTCTCGAAAGATTCCACCCAATGGGGCCCTGGTCCCCGCAGGGATGACCGCCGTTGCCATGGCGCGGGAGAGCCGCTCCAGAGCTATTGGCTCAGCCGGCCTGGCCGCCCGCTCACGCCTCCTCCTCCCTCCCGGCCCCGGCTCTTCGCTGTTAAGCCAGCGGACAACGATCAAGGACTCGAAAAGTCGTCCTCTTCATGGTTTACTCGTGGGCAACACTGTCCGACCCCTAGACCCTAACGAGAGACGGGGGAAGTGAGAGGACTGAGAAAACCCCCACACTGAGGGGGCGACCCGTTGTCAGGAGAGCGTATTGGGAAATGTAGTCTGGCTGGCTGTCCGTGTGCACCTTGCATGCTGGGACCTGTAGTCTCAGCCGCGGTGCGTGCTGGGACCTGTCTTTGTTTTGTAGAACTCTCGCGAGAACCGACTTTTCTACTACGCTTTTGCGCACGTTCTGAAACCTTGGCAGTGCAGTGTTGTGTGCTGGTTGGTTTTTTACTCGTGTCTGATATTGTCTAGGTTACCCCACAACGGGATTATGGACAAGGAATTTCCGTTTAAACCGAGAATAATAAGCTCAGGGTTTCTGTTAAATGTACTTGTATTCATCAGCCAAGTTATTCTTTTGTGGAATAAAATATCTGTTTCTTTTTGTTTCGTAAAGAAAGCATTTTTGGATGTGACATGATTTACAATTCTGAGGTATCACTTGCTACTTGTGCAGATTTTGTTCTGTCCTGCCAATCCTAGCCATAGATTAATTATTACATAACGTTTAATTTGTTTGATCTAAACGCTTTTTTTTTTTTTTTTGTCTCACCCTGAAAAGCAATATTCTTGTTTACTTTTCAATAAAGACTCAACCATGAAAAGAAAAGGGAAAAAAAAATGTTGGAACTCTGCTAGTATTTCAAGTCTTTTGTATCCTCCCGTGTCTAAGTGCCTGATAACCTTGCTTTCCCTCAGGTTCATGGAAGTACAAGCACAGTTCAAACACACAACTAGATAAGTTAGGAGCTGTTACCTAGTCACAAAAATCTAACTCCTGATGAGGATGGCAATCCTTAGGTTAAATCAGAGACAAGACTAGAAACCCGGGTTATGTTACATATAAAATAAGTTCGAAGTGTTTCCTGTTGTTGTTTTGTTGTTTTTTATGGTGGCCTAGCACATAAGACAACTTGCTTAATCAGGTACTGCATTTAACTCACCTCTAAAATGGGGGCAATAATAGTAGCTATCACAGATGATTGTATCCTTTGTTAACTATTTTTATTATTAATAGTATTACAGATGTCCACAATTTCCCCTCTCCCATCGTCCCCCTCCACCTGGCCCTTGTCCCACCCAGGCCTTCTCCATGATATACTATGTTCATGGGCTATGCATATATTCATATTCGTTCTTTGGTTAATCACACACCCCCAACTACTGCCACCCTCTGAGATGTCAGTCTATTGCATGCATCCATTTCTCTGACATAATTTATTCGTCAGTTTATTTTGTTCATTATATTCCACATGTACATTAGGTCACGTGATATTTGTCTTTCTCTAACTGGCTTATTTCCCTTACCGTAATAATTTATAGGTCCATCCATGCTGTCTCAAAGGGTAAGAAATCCTTGTTTACTGCTGCAAAATATTCAATTTAGTAAATGTACCACAACTTATTTATTTATTTTTATTGTTTGAAGCTTTACAAATAGTAGTACATATATCTCCTTTTCCCTCCCTTAACCTCCCCCCAGCATCCCCAACCCTTCCCATATACCTTTACCTGCCCCCACCACCACAACTTTTTTTATCCACTCATCTGCATATGGGCACTTAACTGTTTCAAGATCTTAGCTACTGTTATGAACATAGGGCTGCATATATTCTTTCTAATGGTGTTTCAGGATTCTTAGAATTTATCCCAGTGGGATTACTGTGTCAAATTCCATATTTATTTTTTTTGAGGAAACTCCACACTGTTTTCCATAGTGGCTGCATTTCCACCAGCAATGTACTATACAAGGAGGGTTCTTTTTTCTCCACATTCTCTCCACTTGTGGTTTGCTAATTTATTGATAGTAGCTATCCTGGCAGGTGTGAGTTGTTACCTCTTTGTAGTTTTAATTTGCATCTCTCTGATAATTAGTGGACCTTGAGTATTTTTTCATATATCTATTGGTCATTAATGTGTCCTTTTTGGAGAAGTGTCCATTTAATTGAATTCTTTATCTTCCTTTTGTTAACTTGTATGAGTTCTTTATATATTTTCTTAAATTAACCCCTTATCAGATGTATTATTGGCTAATATGTTCTCCCAGATACTGGCTCCCTTTTCATTTGGATGATGGTATCTTATGCTGTGCATAAGCATTTTAGTTTGATGTAATTCCATTTGTTTATTTTCTCCTTTGTTACCTTTGCCCTAGGAGATATATTGGCAAATATATTGCTACAAGAAATGTCTGAGATTTTGCTGCCTATGATTTTTTCTAGAATTTTTATGGTTCTGCAATTTATGTTTAAGAATTTTATCCACTTTGAGTTTATTTTTGTGTAAGGTGTAAGTTGGTGTCTAGTATAATTTTTTTTGCATGTACTTGTCCAGTTATCTCAACACCATTTATTAAAGAGACTGTCTTATTCCACTGTATGTTCTTTTTTCCTTTGGGTTGATTTCTGGGTTCTCTGTCCTGTTCTATATGTCTGTTCTTGTACCAGTATCAGGGTGTTTTTATTACAATGACTTTGTATCAGAGCTTGATATCTGGTATTGTGGTCCCTCCAACTTTGTTCTTTTTCAAGATTGTTGGAGCTATTCAGGTCTTTTTTGGTTTCATATGAGGTTTTGGAGTATTTGAGCTAGGTCTCTGAAATATGTTGTTGGTATTTTAATGGGGATTGCATTGAATCTATAGATTGCATTAGGTAGTATGGACATTTTAATTATGATAATTCTACCAATGCATGAAAATGATATATTTTTCCACTTGCTTACATCTTCCTCTATCTCTTTTTTCAACATCTTTTAGTTTTCCAAGTACAGGTCTTTTATCTTCTTTGCTAGGATTATTTCCCTAAGTTTCTGAATTTTTTGGTTATATTTATAAATAGATTTTTTTGTTGTTGTTAGTTTCTTTTTGTGTATAAAAATACCATCGATTGCTCAGGCCAGTTTGGCTCAGTGGATAGAGGGCTTCAGAATGACTGGTCCAAGGTTCAATTCTGATAGAGGGCACATACCTCAGTTGCAGACTCCTGGGCCTGCCTGGTCGAGGGTATGTGGGAAGCAACCAATCACTGTGTCTCTTTCACATCATTGTCTCTCCCCCTCCACTTCACTCTCTCTCAAAATCAATGGGAAAATATCCTTAGGGTGAAGATTAATAATAACAACAACAACAAAAAAAGAAATCCCACCGATTTCTGGGTGTTAACTTTGTATCCTGCTACATTGCCAAATTTATTTATTAAATTTAGTAGTTTTTTTGGTGGAGTCTCTAGGGGTTTTCTATATACAGTATCATATCATCTGTTAATAATGACAGTTTTACTTCCTCCTTTGGAATGTGGATTTTTTTAAAATTTTCTTCCTGTTTGCTGTGGCTAGGACTTCCAGTATTATAAGAGCAGTGAAAGTCTTGTTCCTCTTCTTATGATTAATGGTTTTATTTTTTTGCCCATTGAGTATGATGTTGACTATAGGTTTGTCATATACTACTATAGCCTTTATTATGTTGAGGTATTATCCCTCTATTCCCACTTTGCTGAGAGTGCTTATCATAAGTGGTTTGGGATTTTGTCAAATCCTTTTTTTATGTCTATTGATATGATTAAGTGATTTTTTTTTTTTAATCCTCACCTGAGGATATTTTTTCCATTGCTTTTCAGAGAGTAGAAGGGAGGGAGGGAAGATGAGAGAGAGAAACAGAGAAACATCAATGTTAGAGAGTCACATCGATCGGATGTTTCCCCATGTGCACCCATTGAGGGCAGGGAGTGAACTCACAATTCAGGTACATGCCCTTGACTGTGAATCAAATCTTTGATCTTTTGGTGCATAGTCCAATGCTCTAACTACTGTGCAACATAGACCAGGGCTCTTCATGTGTTTTTAATCTTTCAATTTGTTTATGTGTTGCATCACATTTATTGATTTGCAAATATTGTACCACCGTTGCATCCCTGCAATAAATCCCACTTGGTTATGGCGTATGATCTTTCTAATATATTGCTGGACCTGATTTGCTAATATTTTGTTGAGGATTTTAACATCTATGTTCATCAGGGATATTGGCCTATAATTCTCTTCCTTTGTGGTGTCTTTATCTGGTTTTAGAATTAGGATAAGGCTGGCCTCATAAAAAGAGCTTGGAAGTGTTCTTTCCTCTGGATATTTTGGAATAGTTTGAGGAATATTGGTGCGAGTTCTTTGAATATTTGGTAAAACTTCCCTGTGAAGCCATCTGGACCAGGGCTTTTGTTTGCTTAGAGTTTTTTTTTTAATTACTGCTTCAATTTCATCAGTTGTATCAGCCTATTTTGGTTTTCTGATTCTTCCTGATTCAATTTTGAAAGATTTTATTTTTCTAAGAATTTGTCCATTTGTCCATTGTCCAGCTGGTTGGTGTAGAATTGTGCATAGTTTTTTTGTTTTTGTTTTTGTTTTGTTTTTTAAGTCCTTTGCATTTCTGTGGTGTCTGTTGTTACTTCACTGATTTTGTTTCTGGTTTTATTTATTTGGGTCCTCACTCTTTGTTTCTTGATGTGTCTGGATAAATCTTTTTTACCTTTTCAAAGAACCTGCTCTTGGTTTCATTGATTTTTTTCCCCCTCTCTCATTTATTTCTGCTCTAATCTTTATTATTTCCTTTCTTCTCCATACTCTGGATTTTTCTTGTTCTCTTTCTAA